ATACTATATATTAATAATTATTGTTAAATAATGTTAAATGATAATAATTAATGTTATGAATTGATAGTTATGTTTGTGTAACTAAATATCACGTAAACACGTGATCTTGTACTACTATTTCGCGACTAATTAATGTGTGCTACAGACTATAAATATTTGCTAAAAGTAATTATTAAATTGTTACTATTTGTTATATGAACTAATATTAAATATTATTTTCAAGGTTATTATAAATTATTGCAGGTGTTTTTAATATTATTTTATCATTATATTTTCATTCTGTAACAGTGTACAAGTCTTTAGACGATGAATCAGAGATTTGAGGCTCTGTCTCTTCTTCAAATCATGTATCATGTGTTATTTTTTCGTGTAATGTATAACTAATAATTTTTCAAAATAATTTTCTTGACGAAAGTGATCGGTGTTACAAATTGTAACGCGCACATGACTTTTATTTCAAGGAACACATACAACTAGGAGATCAACTCAAGAATTGTGTCAAAAACCAGGTATGTATTACAAAGACCCATATATGTTATTCCAGAGCGCTTCGAGAATCAAATAACCAAATGCTCCGTGATCATTGAACACATGCTATTTTTTATAATGGACTTGATATGTTTATTCTGATAAAAATATATCTTATCTGGACTATAGGAATTGGTATAAACTAGGTACACATCACCATCATGTGCATGTTACATGATTATTACGCATAAAGATTACATGTTAAAATTTTAAAAATAAACCAATTGTTCCATCATTTTTTGAAACAATAAACTTGCACATTTAGCCTAACCACACTTTGAATTAAGTATTTCTTTTAATTGCGAACTACCTGATAAGTCCCGCATATACTGTATTTGCAATGGAGGAGTAGTTGTGTCACTTTGACAAGTTCGACAATTGTAATTTTCAGCAATCTTGTTGATACATTCCTACCAATGCAAAGTTGTTATTAACTGTTTATTGCAAATTTAAATAAAATATGTAGTGAATGTATCTCCAGTACCATAAAGTGCCAAATGTTTGACTCCAACAAAGAAATGGTTATTTTATCTTTGACTAGTCAAGTAGTTAAGAAAGGTCACGATCGGTAAAGTCTATCATATTCAAGATCTATTACATATGATTCTACCAAATCTCCTGAAGGTATGGTTTAATATACTTAATTAATTAAAGTAAAATCAAGTTTCATCAATTACAAGGGTATATACCTTGATTTATTAGCAATACTGTTTCTGGTGGTCTACCTTTTGTTCGTAACAGCTGATTGATAAACTTACATCTTCTCAACTGTACCTTCAATTTGTCTTGTTGTTACTGGAGAGGTGTGAATCTCGGTGGCTTAATTTCTGAATTCAAAATAAGAATTTTGTTGACCAAGCACGAAAAATCTGGCCTTGTTGCAATACTGCTTATAGCACGATTCAACCAAATATTGTATTCTTTGTACGAGCTAGTAAAAAACAATGGACAAATGATTGAATGTAGTAACTTGAAACAGTGCTCATCCTCTGATGTTTTAGTTGGGGAAACATCAGAAACACTACCACACCTGTTATACGTGAAAAAAGTTAAGAGGCAAATCTGATCTCATTTTACACATGTTATAGGATGAAAGCTTACATGTCATTAAAGATTCAGAAAACCACTTGGCCAATTCCAGAATCACTTAAGGACAAAAAAGTGGTCTTTCCTTTCAAGGAATCAGCCAATACATTCTGCAAAAAGGGTAAAACCTCTATTGGTAATACTGGATCAGTTATGGTATATGGATTTTCACATGTAATCATCTGCCATTCTTGAATGGTGAAAATATGAGCAGGGTAAGAACAAGGTGAACTGAGAACAATTATTGAAGACAATGCCCTATCAAGTATACATAGAAGTCATTAGCATAATACATCATCTAATATTATTGCATGTTCAAAAATACTTACAACAGTTCATAAAATTCACTCCACTTTAATCCATTAGTTTTCGCCTTCTTAAGTACTTCTATTTGATATTTTCTAAATTTTTGTGATATATTGATTTTGTCAAATGCTCACTAAAAACAGAAGCAAATTGTGAGATATGACAGAATAAAAGCATAAGGACATTAATATGTGACATACTTCATTGGTTGATTCCCGTAGCAACTTCCTTTCAATGTTTGTAAAATCAAACTTTAATTCGACGTCATCCTCAAATTCTACATGAGGAAACTCTGAAGACTTTTCACTATCATTTCTTGGTCTTGGATTTTTCGCACTTTTCACTTGTTTTTTTGTCTAAATATAAAAATATGCATGAGCTTTTGTTCTCTTAGATTTAGCACTTATAATTTTAAAATCATATTTTTTTATATGTAGGAACATTTTCCTTATTTTCATTCTCTTGATTATAACACGTTGGCAATTTTACTCTTTCATCCAATTCCTCTTGCGAATGTGCATTATTGAAAGACCAATCAAACTCGTCACTCAAATTCTACAAAAATAAAGTTCAATATTTTATACATTACTCAGGAAAAAAATAAATTTCACGAAAGCCAACTTACACTATCATTGGACTCCATCATGTTCTTACTTCAACTTTCCTGGATGATATCTTCATTTTTTCACTTTTTCGGACTATTTAGGATATTTTGAACGCTCATTACAGGTGCGTTTACCTAAATGAATATAAATGAAATCAATTTGTAAAGTTGTAAAATAATTAGGCAGTAAATAATGAAAAACACATATCCATATTAATTACCTGTTCAGCATCACAAAGTTGGTAGATACCGAGGAGGTCTTGGTGTTAGATGTTAACAATGTTTTTTGGCTGACGTTCGTCGCTTTGAACATATTTAAGATACCAGTAACCTTTAAAAAAAAATTAGAATTGTCATATTGAAACTGACAAATACATTAATGTCACGATGCATTCACTTACCCGTGTGATTTTGATCTGATTCTCCAGTTATATTTCCCTTTGGTGACAAACTTCTTTCCAGAATATGGCGACGTTTGGATCAAACAGTTGATTTTAACAAAAGAGAAATATCAGACAAGGTAAAATAAAGTAATAAAATAGGTCATCCATGACGATCTAGAAGGTCATCAACAGGGCATCTAGAAGGTGCCTTGCCTAGTCGTGTTGATACATGCATCAAGGAAACCTTTTCATGACAATCTAGAAGGTCATCAACAGAGCTATACGTGTTGCCCAAATCCCAAATCATTTGGGATTTGGGACGCCAAAATCCCAAATTACTAGTATTTGGGATTTGGGATTTGGGATTTCGGCAAAAAATACTAATCATAATTTGGGATTTGGGATTTGGGATTTCGGCATTTGGGATTTCGGCATTTGGATTTTGAATTTGGGTGGCAGGTATAAACAGAGCGTCTAGAAGGCACTCTACCTAGTCATGGCTTTTACGTAAGCAAAAGCATCAAATATTCTTTAATTTCGTTACGACGATCTTGAAGGTATAAGCAGAACATCTAGATAGTATCCTGCCTAGTAATAGCGAGTATATTTACCTTCAAGGTACTAAGCATCGTCTTGGCTCGTTGCACTTGTTCCTCGTTAAAAGTATTATCTGGGTTATTTGTAATTGTCTCCAGATTTCTCTTAAGCCAGTCATTCTCCTTATAAAAAATACCACTAAAATCATTTTGTCTTCTTCAAAAATCGTAATATCTGTGAATAGACCAACGCTTTGGTAACTCATCGAAGTACGCAAGATTTGAAGACACGGAGGACAGATTGATTAACAAATCTAAAGACGCATTACGCGTTCTTATCAGATTATTGTGTCGCACAATCATTTTACTTGTGAAACCTTGCCATATTCATCAATTTCAGCTCTAAGATTTGAAAAAGATAAATTAGTTTACTGCCAACTGATAATGACCAACTTATATATATTTACCCGGATTTCGTATAAGTATAACTGACCATTTTAATTCTATTCAGAATCGCTAGCAAATGAAACTGGATTATAGATAGTTTAGACAAACAAAAAATTTTAGTGTAGGCAATAGTCTAGATACAATAGATAGATTTGATTCTTTTCGATTTTTATTACAATCAATAAAGCAAAGGCGCGTTAGCGCAATTTTATTCCAATATTTTTTTTATGTGATTAACCTTTTGAATATATCTACATCTTGTATAAAGCAATATCAAATGATCAATTAACAATCAATACCTTGAGAGAATTAAACTCTAGGCTTGCATCCGAGATTACTGAACTTAGAAAAGAGAATTCTGAAGTCAAAACTAAGAACACAAGATTGAAACAAGCTATAGAAGAAAATGCCATGCTCAAGGCTAGATTCGAAGAACTAGAAAAGAAAAATAAAACAGATACTGCCAATCTCACTGCTGAGAATATTGAGCTTAAAGACAGAGTCACGAAATTGGAACAGAAGCAAGTTCGAGTTATTATTAATGAACAGGAGGCATCTTATACAAAAGATATTTTGCAATCCCCGGCTTGTTCAGAATTATCAGTAAATACCCAGATCCAGGTACAAAGTACTATTTCTTCTGAAATAAAAGATGAGCCTAAAGGGTTATTATCCATTTCGTCACCTATTGGAGGCCATTCTGAAGAGGGAAAAAACATGATTTCTGATTGCTTACCCGAACAAGAAAATAGCTTGACAATATTTGAATCTTTAGCAGAATCTGAAACATCCACAACCTCTTTATCACAAGACATTATTAATAATGATTCAGCTGAGATTCTTGAATTTGTAGAAACGATACATAGAAAAAAGATAAGTAATGAAATAAAGGAAAGAAACAGAAAAAAGAAACTTCAGAGTTAAGGATCAATGCAAAGCACATCTTCTTCTGATATACAAAATGAGGTCAATTCTGTTATCGACCATAAAATTACCTTGTCAGAATCAATACTTACTAATCAAGCAAAAAATACTGAAATCAAAATTCCATATAATAAAAGAGTTGAGCAAGACTTAAGGCACGACTTATCTGTGTTTATTAAAGAGAATAATAATAAAGTTAGTGAAGTATTTGATATAAAAATTCCTGAATTTTCGTTAGAAGTAATTATAACAGGATCTAGCAAAATTACAGCACAAAATATAGCCGATTTATTTGTTATAGTAATGAAAGTTAGACAAAAAGAGATTTTATACTGGTATTGTTACTATAAAACATATGAGGATCGAACTGAAGACATTAAACGTGTAAATAAAATTGATAATCAATTAGCAAGAACATTGATATACAATGAGATAAAAGCACTTCTCCCAGATATCACCAATGTAAACTTGCGTCAAAGAACATTCAGAGCAAAAAAGATTTATACGTTACTTGTGGGAATAGGAATAGAAAAAATCCAAGCAATAACATGTAGTGCAAGTGCAATCTCGAGTTTAACTGACAATCAGATTCAAGATATTATAATTTGTTTTCCTAAAAAATTTATTAGCATAGATGACTCTTCGGTTAAATACCAAAAAATGATCAGCATTACAAATTGTAACGCGCACGTGACTGAACAAACTTTATCAGAAACTGAGGTAAGTATTACAACCACTTCCTCATCATCTCAAATCTCTAATTTGAAAGATATAGTAAATAAGAATGACGAATTTTCAGAAATCGTAAATGTATTTGATGACTTTTCAGATTCTAACTTTGATAGTAGTGAGGATAATGAAGAAGACGAGTTTTTAGATGAGGAAGATAAATTTTTACCAGAGACTAAGGTAAATACTCCATTCAATCTAGCTTATAATTGTGCCTATTTTCATAATAAAATGGTAGAACAATATCTTGATTTATATTGGGAAGGAAGAGATGGAAATAATGATTATTACGGAATTACTGATGAATCTTTATGCCCGCTATGCAAATTAGAACATTATGAGGAGAATGGTATAGAAGGCAGATATAAAAGTGGATCCTATTTTATTAAATGTGAACAGCGTGAAATTAAAATTGAGATAACAGCATAAACTTTAAGTGTTAGAGATATTAGTTCCGCTATCTTATGTTCTGCTAATTCATTTCACTTATTTTTGAGGTAAATATATATAGCCTGTGGTTACGAAGCAATAAAAAAGTTAACTATATTAATCTGGACATGAGCTTGCGAGTAAACATTGTATATTATTTTTTTGTCAGTTATTATCAATTTAAAGAGATGTGAGGTCATATAAAATGGCAACATGAATACATTAACTCCTAAATATTTGAAGTGGGAAGCTAAATTAACAGAATTGCCAAACATTTTGACAGATAAAATTTGTTCTAGGTTTTGTAAAAGATATAAGAAAAAAACTGAACTCGATCTCTGGTTAAACTTTGAAACTTTCCAAATCGAAGAGAACACAGATAATTATATGAGTTATGATTGTATTATCAAAATTTCTAAATTTTCAGATGAGAAAGATATAATTATTGAAGCAGTACATAAACACTTCCCTTTCTTGACATATATCAATTCTAATGCATGGTATCGAGATGTTTTTAAATATACCGATTCAGAAGCTAAATGTCCAATATGTAAAGAGGTATATACAAGATATTGTATATGGGACGATTGGAGTTGTCTAGGTAAAGATGATTACTATTATCTCAATTGTTCTTTTCGTATTGATCAAAAAAAAGTTATAATTGCTAAACAGAACTTATTGGAAATTCAAGTAAGTGTACCAAACAAAATCCGTAACTCATCAATTCATCCAAACAAAATTTACCTTTATTAATATGCTATCGAACATGGAATGGATCCCAAGAAATTTTCTGTTATTACAGAGGCTGAGAAAAAAAGATGGGATAGAGAATGTTTTCGTGAAGACTTGAAGAGAGATATACAGTTCCATCGCAGTGGAATAGAGAGGAAGGAAGATTCTAGAAAATATTGTAAATTTTTAACAAATTGGGAAAGACTGGTCGGTGAAGAATTATTATGTCGTAGTATATTAGAAAGTGGTTTAAGTACTGTATGACTTGATGATCTTATGGAAGAATGGGAAAAAACATATAATCAATTTGTACAAATTTTTAACTAGACACAATGCATAAATCAGTGGAGCAGACACAAGGTGCCATTTTTCCATGATCACATGCATAAATCTCATATATAAATCACTTATAATTCAAGTAGACGAATTTTAACTTTATTATATATGACAATACATTATTTGCCAATAACGAATCCTTGATTTATACATGTCACGTGATCTTGTTCCGAAGGACAGGGTCACATGATTTGTGACATAGTTTTCATGATTTTATTCTTTATATATTTGATTTTCTCTACACTTAGCTTTGAGATAGAATCCGCTGAAAAAGATTTTACTAATTCTATTTTTTTAATACCTATGTTACTAAAAAGGAAATAAATTTTCTGGACTCTTTCCTTTCTTTTGTTATGGGCATTCTCAGAAGTGTCAGGGAGTTTTTCTTTTAGTTCATCGTTAATGTCTATTTGAGCTTAATGTAAATTACGCGATTTTTTATAATAATACTCAAAACGTTACGATACCACTTTTCCAAACAAAAAATATGACCTGATAACTTCTCTACTTGCAATCTCTTTTTGCAATTCAGAATTAGTAATATTATTATATAAATAAAGTAAATCTTCAGATGACCCAGATACCGCTTCTTTGCTAATTTCAGATACATGCGGACTATTACTAGTTAACTCTTTAATAAGTCGTTTCAGCATCTGGAAATCCTCATTTTTAACTTCCTTTTTTACTTTCTTAATAGGCGATATATCTTGCATTGTATTTGTTTCTTCAGTGTCAACTTCGATAGGTCTTTTTTGGAATCCTTCTACCATGACAATGCTCTTATCCCTCAGTTGATTATCTTTACCCTCTCCATTATCAACATCTGATATTTCTTCATCAATAATTTCTTGAGACTGGATATTAAGTTGCTTTCCCATCTTCCCAACTATTGACAAAGTGCTGAATTGAGAATCGCGTCTAAGATCCGTTTCAGTTGTGGTGACTTTGGTAATAGTCTTGACACTTGCTCTACAGTCAGTGAAGGGACACACATTTGGTTTTGTAAGCAGGAGTTTCTTCTCGATACAGATTCTATGGAAAACATGTCTGCAGACTAGCGTTGTGAATGCTTTATTGAAGGTAAAAAAAATCTTTTTATTGTATTCTATACAGTTAGGCAACTCGGTGAATTTCTTATTTTTGACTACATCGTTGTTGAAGTTTTTTAAGATGCTATATGCGAAATTTTTTAGATTAGTAGTTGAGACTTTTTCCGTTCTTGGAATAATGTCCACATAAAACAGATAAGTTCTTGAACTACAGACCTTTACATATTTTTGTATGTTCTTATATAATTGCTCATATGTCACTTGAAAAAAAATATCCCAACTCGAAATAGATTACATCCGAAATGGTGCAAAAATAGGTATTGTTTTTATTATAGCAGAATCATTATAGAAAGGTGAGTTTCATGATCGGTGAAAAATATTAAATTAATCAAAAAATATTCAATAGGTGTATATGTGAGAAATTAGGTCACACAAAAACATATGGATCTAACCTGCTAAGTGCTTATTTTTCTGCATTCAAAAATATGCTCATGATCCTTAGATCGCCCTTCGGACTTGATCTGCAATAAAAAATTGGATTATCGTGATAGTGGTTTATTATATGATCAATTTATGTGTCGAAGCTACTTTACGTACCTTTGTACAATTATATATCTTGTTTTCATTTTGCTTCTTTTTAGGTTTAGAATGGATAGAGCCGAGGTCTTTAGACTCATGTATCTTTTTTACTGAAACAACATTGGATAAAATATCAGAACAATTTGAATCTGATGTATCGGTATTATAATCATAATTATCTGAATATATATACTGACATTGTTCGACAATATTCTCTAGCTTTTTATGGAACATACGCATTCCGTATTCCAGATCTATAATGGAATCTTTGAGATATTTAAACTCATTTTTCACTTTTCGTTCTGCATGATCATTAAAATTTTCTATCATTTTGATTGGTACTGTGAAATAACTCTGCTAATATATATTATACAAAAAATATATCCAGCTAAAAAAAATTCAATATTAATATAGTTGAAATAAAATTAGTATTTTTTAACTAAGCTTATTTGTATTTTGATAATATTGATCTTTGACTTGCTTCATAAATGATCCATCAGGTTGATAAAGTCATTTAATTACTGCGAGCTGAATTATTTTAGCTGAGTTTATTCGTTTTTGATTCCATGAACGAAATATCTGCTGAATAGTTAACACTGCTTGTTTTTTAAAACACAGATAACAATATTGTAGAAGATATAAATGAGTATTCACTGAACCTCTATACAAATGTCGGCATCTAATACATCACCCATACGAATTTTTTTGAAGATATATTTTTTTTAACACATTATTAGTCATATAAATCTGTTCTATAAAATTTTAGCTATATTTTGTCATTATATTGTTTACATTAAACATGTGGATTTTTTAACTTAGACTTTTATTTAATAGATAATCAATGGAGTTAACTGAAAAAAAATAAATATAGCAGATGAGTAGGCTGACTTGTTTTCCTACATTAGGTTAATATAATTTGTTAAATGAAAAATTATCATGTAGTATTACTTTATATAACTCGATAGCGAAGCTAGTGTCAAGACACATAATTATTTTTTCTTTTTTACCCTGTAACATCATTTCAGACATATAACAGCCTTACACACGTGCTTATCATCTGATTCTGAACTAGATGTGGAAGAACCACTTGTATCTGAGGTATCAAAAGAACCAAAGGTTCAATGCTCTACATCATCAGAGTTAGAAGAAGTGAATTTGTAGAATTCATCAACATTATTTTCAGTAACACGCACTATAACCCTTCTTCCTTTCTTCTCAGCAAAATTTTTAATACGTAATGTAGTTCTTACCCAGGCATCCTCTGTGTCAGTTACAATTTCAGGTATGTATCTTTGAAGTTCATCATCATATTTTTGACCATAAAACCAGATATTACCAAGCATTATATAATTATAAAAGAATAAAGACGAAAAGAAGTATCAAGTAATATAATATTACAGAAAATAAAAACCTGCGTTATATTTAAGAATTATATAGAAAATAGTTATCCTATATTATTGCGTTATTGTATGAAAATGTATAGAAAAATAGAAAAAAAATATTATAAAATATTTATAATCATCTTTTAATAATAAATTATGTAAAAATTCAGAAAGTAATAAAATATTACGAAATGAAATTTTCCACAATATATATTGAATTACAATGAAAATGATTAAATTCGAAGTAATCCAAAAATGATAAACCTGAAACAGAATACATTAAAATACTAGCTGTTGAATTTCGAAAGTTTATGTTATCATTAAAAAATTTAGTATTGAACTTCAAAGGTTTTCAATAATAAAATAATATATATCAAAATTTAACTGTTAAATTTCAATTTCGAAGAGTTGCGACACAATTGATAACTTTCGAAATCTAATGTTGCAATATAATTTCGAAGGTTTTCGAATTAATATAATTACTGACGTTGTCTTTTTGAAATTTGATCTTTACTTTATTTATATTTATATTTTATTTCAACTATACCAATTATATATTACATGAATTTCCTTATTGTTTACTGTAGAAACTGTAGATACTGTAGAAAAATTACTAAGATTTGTAAAGATATAATTATTCTCTTAGCAAGACACCACTAAATCAAAGGAGTAGTAATAACTATAAACTGTTATCACTGATACTACCTGTTGGGATAGTAAAAGCAAATATAAAAAATTACTTAAATTTAATTTAACAGTTATTAGTGAGTTGGAAGTATTGAAAAATAATAATATATAGAAAACAAGAGAAAATAATAATTCTATTGATAATTTATGATGGTATGGATTAAAGATACTATAAAATAATAATAAAATATACTATAAATTAATAGAACTTTAATTTATTTTGTAGGATTTTAGAAAAAAATAAATTTTAAAAAATAATGTAAAAATAACAAAGAAAAAATGAATAAAATAACTAGAAACCTGATAGAATAATTCAAACAATATATAAGAACAAATATATGAGTAAGATACTGTAACTAGATAAAAAGGTAAAAATTAGAAAATGGTATATGAAATAGAAATAAATGTAAAGTTTTAATTTTGTCAAATAATAATCAGGTTACAAATATAAACACTAATAATAATAATAATAATTTTTATGATAATAATTCTAATACAAATATGAAAAAAAATAATAAAAATATAGTCAAAAATCTATGTAATAATATAGTTAACTAATTTTTTTATAAATTTATTAAGGAAAGGGTTAAATGAACAGAAGTATATAAAATAAATTATTCAGCAAGGCCTTAATATGCTGAAGACAAGTTTACTTGTTAGGCAGTAGGTTGCGAACCTGTCTCTTATGAGTTAGTTCAAGTCTCATCTTTTCAAATAAACATTAGAATAAGTTGTGTATTTTGTATTATGTAATCCTATGTAATGTAAAAAACTTTTTCTTTTTCTAATTAATAAATTTGAAGCAAGATCTTGTTGAAACAAAAAAAAAATAATAATAATAATTATTATAAATTTAGATACAAGGAATAACTATTATTGATGTATTTCTTTCCTATTCTACATTTGATACAATACATATAAAACCTATTACATCAATATCTAATAATACAAATAATACTTCTACAATATCTATTACATCTTCAATACCTCAATGGTTTATATCATTTCCTTTTTCTTTTTCTTGTACCAACATTTATTCTTCAATTGAAAAATCAATATCTAATCTTTTTGAATTATTCAAATGTTCAATAATTACAGAATTTCTTTAAAAATTAGATGATATTTATAATAGTAATAGAACATATTTACAATTAAAATCTAATTTTATAAATGATGATATTATAGTAAATGCAATTAAAGATTTAACAAATGAAGAATTAATTACTTTAGGAGTTACTAAAATTAGGTGAAAAAAAAAATATTATACAAGTAGCTAATAAATATTAGATTATAATAATTAATATTGTATTTTTGTAATTACAATAATAATTTTTTTTAATAAAATTATATTCAAAAATTAATAATAATAAATTTTTTAAAATTATTTGAATAATATATTATTTATTATTTTATTATTTTTCAAGGTTATACGTATTTTGTTTTTAAAAATATACTGATTCTTGAAAATAACTCTTAACCATATCAGAAGTAATTTGTGCATATACAATTATTAGTACATAAATTGGATTAATACATACATTCATAAAATCATGATTTCATTTCATTTAACTTTCAATAGTACCAAATGCTATTTCAATTGAATTTAAATCTGAAGAAAAATTATATGATATCCTAATTTTTCAAAAATATTGATTAAATTTTTATCATAATGAATTGTTATATTATCAGATATAGTTATACTATTTTTTCCTGAATAAGGATTCATTTGAGAAAGCTGATAATATAAAATATTATATTAGAATATCTTTATCAATAAATATATTATATTATTTTTATTACTTACTACTTGTGAAAGTACAAATTCAGTAAATCATTTTTGATCACAACTTTTTTCCATATCATCTAATATTATAAACCTATCTAATGTAAGTATTGAAAGAATTGTATAACTTTTTCATGAACAAAAACTATATTTTTTCTTGCATGTGTATAAGTAGAAGATTATTCATAAAGACATGAGAATGTACATTCATCTTTAATACTTTCATCAAGAAAAATTAATTACTCAGGTATATAATTAACTCCAATCTTAATTATAAAATTACTATGAACTAGTTCATTTCTTTCATATACAGTTTTTTGTAATTATAAAAAAAAATATAATTAAATAAAAATATTATAGAATTTATAATTCAAAAAAAAAAATATAACCTTTTTATAAGTTATACTACAATAGTATAAAGAATGCCAAAGTACTGATACATTGTTGACCCTATTTCTTTATTTTTATAATTATATATATTTTTTTATTACAACGTATTTTATTATTATTATTTTATCTTATTATTATATTAGTATTTCATATATGTATTATCTCATTTATTTTTAGTATAGTATATTTATATTCTAGTATCACCTTATTAGTATTT